ATCAAAATTTACAATTATAAATAATCAAAGAAGGAAATATTAACATTGCAAAAACTTTGTTGACACCAGAGATTTCAGTGAATCTGAATCACTTAGTTCCAAAGCATTTAAAGCAAGAAATGGTTATAGAAGTAAAAAAAAAAAAAGTCCATAAAAAAAAAAAAAAAAAAAAAGGAAGGGGTGGCGCTTGTGGCTCAGTGGGTAGGGCGCCGTCCCCATATACCAAGGGTGGCCAGTTCAAACCTGGCCCCTGCCAAACTGCAACAAAAAATACCTGGGTGTTGTGATGGGCGCCTGTAGTCCTAGCTGCTCGGAAAGCTGAGGCAAGAGAATCGCCTAAACCCAGGAGATGGAGGTTGCTGTGAGCTGTGAGGCCACTGCACTCTACCCAGGGCAATAGAGTGAGACTCCATCTCCAAAAAAAAAAAAAAAGGAAAAGTCCCTCTTGTGTAATTAAGGAAAATTATACTGGGCTGGCCCCTCTCCACATTCTTCTCGTGAAATCTTGTCTGTGGCCACGTGGACTGGATGAGGCCAGAAATGTGAGAGGATCTCACCCTCCCCTCTTCCAGGGCCCAGGACTTGCCCAGGCAAGGCTTTCAGGAAGGAAGGTGTTTTCCCACAAGTGGCCCCCCGGCAGGGACTTGGGACGGCTTCTCTGTGCCTGTTGGAAGGAGCAGAACCTGAGGTCTTCTAACCCCAAACCACTAATGGTGTTGCAGCTCTTTCCTGAGGCTGGCCCTAATAAGAGACACCCCAGTGTGGCGGCCTTCTGCCCAACAGTGTAAGTGAAGCCTGTGAAGGTGGTAAGCTCTCTACCACAGGAAGCATGTAAGAAGGTGAGGTGAGGAGCCCCCGCAGTGGCCTGGGGTTGCCACTGGTCATGACCAATGCTCTGCTGCCATCTCTGACCTGCTAGGGGGCTTTCCAGCAAGGGGACAAAGGGTGACATCATGCTGGTTCAGCCAGAGCTGGTCCTGGCACCTAGTTTTCTTGACCTGCAGGGCAGCAGTTAGGAGAACCAGAAAAGCTGGTAAGGAAGGGAAAGATCAAGAAGTGGGAGGCAGGGAGGACACAGGGTAGTAGAGGGGCAGGCAGGAGCTAGGGTCCCCAGAAGGAGCAGTGTCAGGCCAGATGGGGAACCTCCAGATGGGGTTACAGTTACATACATGAGACCCATCCCCACCTGCTGCCTCTCCCTCCAGATCATGGTCATCTAGCCCCTGCTCACTGTGCCAGCCTCCCTGAGGTGCCTCTTGCCCTTCCAGCCACCATATTCCATCCCCCAAGCCTGAAGGATCTTTCTAGAAAGCCAACTGACCTAGCCTAGCCCTTTCCCCGCTGGGTAGCCTCCCTGGCTGCTGTGTGAATGAAGTCCAGCGTCCTTATCAGGTCTCCCAGCCTTGCTTAGGCGCCTGCCTCTCCCTGGCCACACCTACCACACTGGCCATGAAGCTGCTGCCCAGCTGGTCTCAAGCTGGGATTGTCCAACTTTCTGAAGGGCCTGGGGTCTGGACCTCCTCCTGGGGGCCTGCCTAGCTCACCCAGCTTTTACCTGTTCCCCACCCCAGGGCTGAAGTGTAAGCACTTGATGCTGCATATGTTGTGTACCTGGTTATGGGGTGACCCCTGTGGTGGGGGTGGTGAGGATGTTCTTTTGCAGATGAGGAAACTGGGGTGGAGAGAGGAGAAGGCAGGAAGGAAGTATGTTCCCGGGTGGAGGTTCCCCACCTGGCCAGGAGGCATTTGTAGGTGCAGACTCCACAAAGCAGCCCTGGAGTGGAGACTAGGCTAGAAGAGGAGTCAGGGATCAATGGAGGAACAAAGTGGGCCCTGAAAGGTTCCAGTGGCTCTCTGAGGGGAGGGTCCAGGAGACACCTGTGGAGAGGAATGGCTTTCCCAGGGATGGCTGGGGGAACTGAGCCCTGACAGCTTGTCTAAGGGGAAAGGGCAGAGGGACAGCCATGTAAAGGCCCTGCAGCAGGAATGGAGGTGCAGAGGAGCATTTAATGAAAGGCTAGTGTGGCTGAGCAGAGGACTAGGACAGGGCAGCAAAAGAAAGGGCAGGGCTCAGCAGGCCCCTACCCCAGCCTCTTTTGCCAATTTCTGCACCCATTTGTCACTTGGTACAGCCACTCTTTAAAGTGCCTCTGAGCTCTGTGCGGTGTCATGTACCTGCAGCCCCATCTATTTAGGAGGCTGAAGCAGGAGGATGGCTTGAGGCAATAAATTCAAGACCATCCTGGACAACATAGTGAGACTCTGTTTCTACAAAAAAATCTAAAAATTAGCTAACTAATTAGCTGTGCATAATTATAATGTATAACTATAGTCCTCCACCTTGGGAGATTGCAGTGAGCTGTGATTGTGCCTGTGAATGACCACTGCATTCCAGCCTGGGCAACAGAGCAAGACCCTGTCTTGACAGTTATCTCAACAGAAGTGGCACTGCCTATTCTGCAACTCAAAAATATGACATTTGGAGAAGAGACAAGACCACCTGATAAACTGAGCAGCAGCCCAGGCTTTAACATACCTCACGCAATCAAGGCTGATGGACCAAGATAGAGCAAATCAGTCCCCTGAGCCTTGGCACAGAGAGCACAAGAGGAGGAACAAGAGAGGTGTTCTGGACCTTTGGTGTTCATGCAGAGACTTTGAGCCTGATCCGCTGACCTGATCTGTTGGCAGGGAATGGTGCCACACAGTGGTTCCCAGACTGACTTGCCCACAGGACCTTTGCAATTGTGGGCAATAGTGGGGGTGTCACACTGGCTTCACTATAGAGAATCCAAGGGACAACCCTTCTCCCCCTCGCCTCAGGGCACAGTCAGCAAATAGCCATGGTGGACACCAACGCCACTCCTGCTGCCCCCAGCAGGAGAGGGAGCAGGAAGCTGTGACACCCCATTTTAAGGGGCCACCTATTAATTAATTAAGCCCAATGAATAATGCATGCCACCTTGGGTATATTAATAGCATATTAATATGGCGTGCTGTGGATGGTATACATTCTCTCTGAATGTCTCACTAATAATTCACAACCCTGCTTCTTTTTTGGCCTCCAGGAGACCCTGGCCAGAGCTTCATCAGGGCTTGTGGGTTGCTTCCAACAGCCAAATTTTACATTTCATTATAAATGGCTTTGCTGGGCATGTCGGTAACTTTTACATTTCCATCCACTTTATTATTAATGGCTTTCCTGAACTGTAGCAGTCCAACGCCGCACACAATGCGTTATAAATATTTGATCCAGCATCTATAGTCTGCCATTTATCATTTATAACGGGTTACAAAAACATTATAAAACATTTACCGCACATTTATAGATCATTTTCGGCTACCACGACGATGTGTTATAAATACATTATTAATCCTCCTCATGCCATTTATAGGAACCCCTTGTAATGGGGCCTGCCTCCCCCCTTCCTGGTAAACAGCTCAAGAACAGGCTGACAGGGGCACCAGGCGCCCGGACCTGAGCAGATAGAAGAAGCCCGACCCTTCCCTGACTGCTGTGTGTTCTTGCCAGATCCTAGCACCTCTCTGTTCACAGAACATAGATAACAGTGGCAGATGCCCAGCACTGAGCACCTTCTGTATGCTTATATGAGGTCCTCTTGGCCATACAGAGCCTCAGGCACCATTTCATGCCTATCTCACAGATGAGGGATCAGAGAGGGGATGCAGTTTGCAGAGGCCACAGCCAGGAATCTGGGAGCAGGCCTTGGAGACCTGGTGTCTATTTTAACCCTGCTCTGACCTCCCACTAGGCCACTCCTTAGTGCTGCAGCCACAGGCTGTCACCCCAAAGGCTCTCTTAGGTTCCCATGGGAATGCTGACTTGGGAATAACGGGCTTGAGGGCTCTTTAGAACCCAACAGACCCCCAGCACCCCAGCTCTGGAAGCCCTAGAGCCCCGTGGCCCCAGGAGGCAGGTATGAGTAGTGGCCCAGGCTTATAGAACAGATGGTGGTCAGCCAGGGCCTGGGCTGGGCAGATCCCCTCCCCATGCTTCCCACCTTAGGGAGGAAAAGTGGTTGTCCCT